GCCTTGCTCTGGAACTCGCGCACCTCCTTTGCAAACTCCTCAGTAAGCAAGACCTCGATTCGACCGATCGGCTCGCCGCCCACCGCCCCGTTCTGCTTCTGATACATATCAACAACGATATAGTTGAAATCCCATGATTTTGTCACAGGAGATTCAGCCAAATCTACCTTGACCACTCCCAGGTAGGGTGTGACATGGTGGGCATCTTCGACATAGTACTTCATCGTCATACGCTTGCGGCCCTGCGGGTCAACAAACTCACGATGAGCAATCGAGCGCTGGCGCTGGCGCTGGCTATGTGTGGGCTCGCCGAATCCGGATATGGTACTGCCGAGCAACCCAGTGATCTCTGGGTTGGCACGGACCAAGTCAAGGCTCTCGTTATAGACACGCGTGACGCCATGTTCGGCAAACATATTGTCGTACAGAACATATACGATGTATCCAAACATGCCTACTACGCTGCCAACAATCAGGAGGTTGCCCATTGTGCTGGCGATCTCGCGTCCACGACTGCTTGATGCGTATGTACGATGCTGAGTGAATTTTTGGTGTAGCTGCTGCTGCTGTCCCAGCTGTACATGTCGAGCCAAAAGGATCGGTGCTCCTGCTGTGGCTAGGTTCGCTCTGCTGGCAAAATTCCGTAATGCCAGTGGTTGACCCAGCGGAATGCGTCGGCAGGCACTTAGAATGGGTGTGCGCTGCATTTGCTTAGTAATGAACAAAGTTTGAATTCAAATGGAGAGCAAAAAGATATCTGGAGCAGAAAACGTCAGCCCACAAATCCATGAGAGCTGATTCCGGTTCCTGCGCCGAGCCGAGCCGAATTGCTGTTTCAAATGTAGCAGCTACTGAAATATTCCTAGGAATGCCTTTCTCGCCAAATGTCCTGTAGCTACCCTCCGCAGCAGCCATTGCACCAATAGCAGTGGTGGCAGCGGCACTGATCGCTGCATGATATCGCTGGATGGTGCTGCGACGCCGTTCCATGCTGGTGGCCCATACTGGAATGTGGCACTGGCCCATAGCTAATTTGCGGTCTGCTTAGGGAGAAAGATACATAAGCTGACCTTGGGCTAGACGACTCCATGGATCCGAGCTGTGGTGGTGACCCGTATGATGGCCTCATCACAAGTGGGCCGCTGCCACACTCGAACACCTTGATTCTACTGGCCGCCTTGACTCCCACGATGACTGGCTAAACGGCGACTGATGGCACTTCTCTCGCAAACTATATATAAAGCGGGAGCCACCACCTATGTGCTGCATAGGCACCTGCCTCGGCAGATTCTGCAGCTGTGCATCGCACCGCACTCCATGTGCGTTCAGGGCACCTGAATCATACTTGCTCGACATCGAATCGTATATATGTCATGCCGCTAGGATTGTTCCGTCGTACCCAAGGTAGTGTACTCGCTGAGAATGGTGCATTTTTATCCAGGACTGTGCGTGACTTAGCTAAGGGCTCCGTATCCGCGCTCGGCGTTTGCTTAAATACCCTCTTGTCAGTCTCTGTTGTTAACCTTCAGAGAGTCCAGTAGTTGTGAGCTTTATGGAATGAATATGACTAGAAATTGCTGAGGAGAAAAGGGGAGGATGGGGCCGTTCCGGCCCACAATGTTTATACAGGTGGGGACTTGGATTTACACATGGTGGCGAAGGGCATGGGGTTGCCCGAATGTCAACATCTGTATTCCTTTCCTCAGTTTTTGGTGACTATTATTGTGAACTATGAGTGAAAATATCTTTACCATTGTCAAACGCAAGAACAAGAAGGGCTGGAACATCTTTGGCGGCCACATAGACACTACTTTGCAGGTCAGGATATACGGCCAGCTCGGCTATTTATTGGATTCTCAGCCAACCAAGATTACGCTTTCCGCAGCAATCGGGGGCTACGACAGCGATGATGACGAACGGACCATGTGTGACATAGACATGGCTGCAAATACAACAGCCACAAACTACGAACAGGTGCTTTTGGTAGCAGAGTCAGAAATTCATGTTTCTGGATTTGCCGCAATCCTCGGGCCTGGTACACGGATTGACGCAAGAAATCGAGTCAATAATAGTGGTTGGAAGTTTACGGATGCATCAGGCACCAAGTACAAATGGACTATCGATAAGTGTGCAAAGCTGTGGAAGCTGCATGATGGCAGTGGCAACGCTGTAGCGGCATTCAATGAAGGGCTCTTTGATACACAAGGGCTTGGGCATTTGTCGATGCCAGCAAGTACTGATCAAGAAATGATGCATGTTATCTTGATTACATGGGGTCTGGTGGCCAGAGGTGCTATGAATAATGTTGTAAATATGCTGATGGATCAGGGCATGGTATAGTCTCAAGGTCCGTTTATGGTGAACTAAAATTGTCCACAGCCCTTTCTTTTTGTCTAATATAGGGCTGACCAACTCGTGCAGCACAATAAATGTCTCCTACTCGCTGTCCTCTCTTCTTTTGGCTTTGGTTCTGCCAATATATTCTTTGATGTCTCTATCGCATAAAACTCCACTTATGCTTATCGATTTTCTGTGAGAGAAATATACGCATGTACAAGCATTGCCAACACATGCGTATTCTATACACCTTTTGTCTTATCCCTCGCTCTCTACTGGCCCTTATTTCCTATTGCCTCGCACTCTTGGCCCACACACAGATCATTGTTGATACCAGCGTACTGAGAACCTGCAGTCTAATTGCTTCTGCTTTTGGATGTATATAAAGCATTGACTTCGCTGTATAAACAAACTCTCGCAAGGGTAGACACAATCGTATTTACAATATCTAACATAACGCGTATATGCAAACCATGCATCTCTAGATGCGGCTGTATGTATTAACCCGGTAGAATGTGCCGGTGTATCCACCACCAGTGGTCAGCGCACCGAGGGCGTCAAAGGCGCTGCCACCCTTGCCAGCATCGAGGACCCCTGTCTTGTTGCCGTCTGTCAGCGTGTCGTTGGTGGCAGTGGTTTTGAGGGTGTTGGTCTTGTCCAACTTGAAGAAGAGCTTGGCTAGTCTGTTCTTGGTAGTGCCGGTCGTTTTCTCTGTCAATGTCATTTTTGGATCGAATGTGTTGTAGATGTAGAGGATTGGTTGTTTGGTGAGGAATCGGCTGAGCTGACTGGTTCTGCGTGAGCCTTTTATACGGATAAAGTGTGCTGTATCTTGGCACACATATCTACAATTCTGTGGCACAGGACATTGATGCACGTTTCTGTGACAAAGCAAACCATGAAGCTGATAGCTAACCCGTATTCTTTTGCCCCAAACGCAGCGACGGGTATGATATTCAGATCTTTGAAGTCTTGCGGCCACGGGCAATCCTACTTTTTGCATTGCCCCAGAAATCAAGGGGTGCATATCTGAGTTTTCCTGGAGAGTCTTCCAGCTGGCTTAGCCCCGTGCACATGCTACCTCTGCTGACACGCAATGAGTCAGTTGTGCCAAGACCTATTTTTTTTTTCCTTTTTTTGCCAGGGATGGGTGTCGGGTGGCTGCTGGCTGCGGCAGAGCTGACCAGAATCATGCTGATACACGTCGGAAAACAGGCACAAGGTATTGATGTACCCGGTGCTTTCCTGACAGACAAAAGTTTCTTATCTCGAACTGAGGTATTTCCGCGATATAGTGCATGGGCACTTGGCGCAAGACCCATCGGCTGTGTTTTGTCTTTCCCAGCCGGAACGCCTTTTGTAGCAGTCCAACACCATTCAGGTCTCGCTGATCTTTCCATAAGAACATTGATTTGGAATAAATACATCTCTATAACTATACAGAATTGCCTACTGCCTAGAGTAGTATGATGGTCCGTTGCTGGATCCAGCGCTGCCAAGGGACCCGGCCAGGTACTCAAGAGTATCGAAAGGGTTGTTGCCCTCGCCGGCGCTGCCGATCTTTGAGGTGAGGACAGGCTTGTTGACGGTAGTGTGCTTGTTGGAGGAGCTGTAGAGAGACATTGTTGATGATAGTGAAGGGGCTTGGGGAAAGAACTTGGCGAAGGAAGCTTTACTTGTTGTCGTACTGCCTTGTTGTCTGGTGTATATGATATGGATTTGAGAATGCCTCTGTTCGATACTCACATTTTATACTCGATCCAGTCGGCATGAAGCTTTTGCCAAGACAGCCTTTTACTGCCGCCTTCAGCCCCACGATCGAGTCACCCAACATACCTTCATACCTACAAAAAATCATCACTAGTGTGTATGCGGTGCGGCGCAGCTGCAAAGGAAATCCTGCTTGAAGCCTGCCGTCCGATAGAATCTTGGCATAAAAATGAGCCTTCCAGATCCTGCTGTAGTATTCATGTAAAAGTGTAGGTAGGCCAAGTGTGGATTTTGTCGTATTCAAGCGGTATGAAGGATCGTTCTTGGCGTTTTTCCCTCCAAGAGAAATTTTCTTTCTGAAAGCAGCAGGACCCAGCCAGTTTGTCAAACAGATACAATACGTTCTGAGCTGTTTGGTTTTCGCTTCAACTTTAAACGATACTCCAGACACATTAGCCTATCTATTGTGGCAAGCCCACAGTCATTCAAGACCAACGATTATGCAGCACGGCCAATTCAGGATGACGAATCAGATTCGTCAGTTGTTGAGGCTGTATAGCAAGTAATGCCGTAGGTACTTCTCTCCGTTCTGCTCGCCAGTCTGTTGAAGTATACCACCTTTGAAATAAAAAAAACTACATCACAAATCCCAGAAACCAACAAGCACTGCATGCTATAATGTATGCCGTGTGTGCTCAGTTTTTATCAGAGGGTCCTCTGTCTGCTCACATTGCGTGTCCTGCTGAATCTGGATATCTCTGCCAATAGCACAGGCCCATGCTTTTCACCTAGTGCGCACGCACTGCAGAAGGTTTTCCTATCAGAGTCCAGCTCGTGCATTTTTGGCTCATCGAGAATCAGTGATTTTACAATTAGACTAAAAGCTATGTGTAAATGGGGTGATATTTGCAATATTTAACATGAAGCATATTTACAAGACACACAGGGCTGGATTATTGATGGGTGTACGTGTTTGTCTTGTAGTATGTGCCAGTATATGTTCCTCCGTTGGTCAGGGCATCGAGGGCATCAAAGGCGCTGCCGCCCTTGCCAGCATCGAGGACCCCTGTCTTGTTGCCGTCTGTCAGCGTGTCGTTGGTGGCAGTGGTTTTGAGGGTGTTGGTCTTGTCCAACTTGAAGAAGAGCTTGGCTAGTCTGTTTCTTGGTAGTGCCGGTCGTTTTCTCTGTCAATGTCATTTTTTGGATCGAATGTGTTGTAGATGTAGAGGATTGGTTGTTTGGTGAGGAATCGACTGAGATGACTGGTTCTGCGTGAGCCTTTTATACAGATCAAGCGTGTTGTATCTTGGCACACATATCTACAATTCTGTGGCACAGGACATTGACGCACGTTTCCGTGACAAAGCAAACCATGAAGCTGATAGCTAACCCGTATTCTTTTGCCCCAACCACAAAGATTGATGTTTGGCACAGGTTCAAGGTCCTGCGGCCACAGGAAATTCCATTCTTGACATTACCTTCAGAAATCAAGGGGTGCATATCCGAATTTGGGGAGGGGCTTCCGGCTGTATCCGCCTCCCTAGCGCACATGCCACCTCTGATGACACGCACGGTGAGTCAATGATGCCAAGACCTTTTTATTTCGCAAAATGGAGATCCTAGGTGGCTGCTGGCTGCGGCAGAGTTGACAAGAGTCCTACTGATACACGCCGGAAAACAGATACTTTGCACTAGCATGTTTGATGCATAACTGTCGAGGCAGTCTCCTATCTTGGGGTTGAGATACTTTTGCGAAACAGTGCACAATAGCTCTGCCTCATATCCACTTGCTGCGCCTTGGCCAAATCCAGCCCGAATACTTTTTCTACATGGCAACGTCACCTGGAGAGTTTTCACTGAATAATACACAAATATATTCGGTTTGAATCGATACAAAGTTGATTAAAGTATAAAGTTATATCTATTGCTGCGCGTAGAATGTCGGGCCGCTGCTGGATCCGGCGCTGCCAAGAGACCCGGTCAGGTATTCAAGAGCGTCAAATGAGTTGTTGCCTTCACCGGCGCTACCAATCTTTGAGCTGAGGACGACCTTGTTGGCGGTAGTGTGCTTGTTGGACGAGCTGAAGAAAGACATTCTTGGCAGTTGTAGGGGAGGGGTTTGGTGGGGTGTTTTTTTAGTATCTTGACGTTGTCTGGTGTGAATGATATGGATTTGAGAATGCCCACGCTTGACATTCGCCTTTTTATACCCGATCCAGCGGCCATTCTATTTTTGCCAAGCCAGCCGTTTACTGCTGTTTTTTAGCACCACTAAGACATCTCACAATATATTTGTTTTTGCGAAAATCGGGTTTGGGGTGCGTGGTGCGGCGCAGCAACAGAAGTTTCGCATGAAAAACTGGATTTCCGATAGAATCTTGGCACGGAGATTGCAGTTTTCTTCCGATCAAGCTGGGGTTGTTTTCTTTAGGGGAAAAGTAAGAAATATGGCAATTATGTCAGCGTCAGGCTGTAGAACCAGGGGTGCTCTTGGCGTTTTTGCCCCTCCAGGGACGATTTTAGTTTCCGGGCAAAGGCTGATTCAGCTAGTTTGTCACGCTGATTATGTACATTCTGAGCTGCTATGTATCTCCTCCGGTTTTGAAAGTACCATGAGCATACGAATCCGCCTATTTACCAGGTCCTTTTCACCCTTTTGGTTGATGACTAGCGGGCTGGTAATTTATCTCAAAAATGCGTGCTGTCTCCTCGCTTCTGACCTGGATAGCGCGCGCATTGCTTGATTTTCGCACGAGCCACTGCCCAGGCAAACACTACATCGGCAACGCCTCCAGATTTTTCATACCCAGAAATATGCCCGTTTCCTGGAACTGCCTCCACTCATTACTTCCCGCAGCACTTTCCTTGTGGATCCCGACACAGCCCACATTGGCCGTGCAATCCATAGCTTTTTTTCGCAAATTTTTTAATCTCCGATTCCAGATACTCCAGCCATTCATCATGCAAATTAAGCTGATGCTGTAATCATCCACATACCAGGGCAGGACATCCATAGTTGGCGTTTCCTGCACAGAACATTTACAAGCTCATCATTGTCATATGCCTACTCGACAGCATGGACTATTTGTCAGCAATGTTACAGATAATGGACGTCTACATGAAGTGCGAGTCACACAGGGGCATTGATCTGTTGGTATGGCAGCATAGACAGCCGTCTCTGAGTCACTTATTTCTGGATTTAGAAGCACGTTGCGTGGTGAAAATACTTGTGTAGTTGGCAATTTCCGCATCCAGAGTATCTGAAGGTGTTTTTTTACGCTGGCCACTCTCAGAAAAAAACTGGCTTGAAGCAAATTGTATCCTCAGCGAATACTTGTAGCATACGATAAAAAAATAAGCCCGATTGACCAATATTCCCTGTTTATTCTCCGTTTGGGCCGTCTCGGGCCGTCGGAGTGCCCGTCGTGGGTAGAATAAAAAAGGACGGCGGGATTTAGAAAAATTATTGTAATAGCACGCTTATTCACACGCAATGGCCGTTCAAGCCGGGGGTCGATCTTTGCATCTAAAAAGGTGCGGCTCCTGTGGGCTGCCAAAGCAGGTTGTTCCGTGCCAGGCAAAGAAGCAGGAATCAAGGGAGGACAGGTGTGATAAAGATTGTTTCGGCAGCATAAATACTGGCTAAAGCTTCCCACTCCGAACTCTCAAATATACAAGCTCCTTGCCTATTTCTCTTTGTAGATACTTGCAATGCACAGCAGTAAAGCACACACGAGCAGAGCCAGCAGCTCCTGGTATCCAGCCGGTCAATGAGAAGCATAGTTGGCACGCCAGATCAGCCGACTAATGCAGCACCAATGGATTGCACCAGCGAGTTCCCCAAATACACTCGCTACGGCGTCCTGGCCAGCTGCTTCATACTGACGGGGCTTTCCTGTGGGTCCCTCCATGCATGGGAGTGCAGCAAGAGTACTTGACGGCGCATCGATTTTGCCAACGACCCAGGACGAATCAAGACACTGAGTTATATTGGCACACTGATGTACTTTGGAATATACATCTGGGGCATGTTGGCGGGCTGGCTGGCCGAAGTGTGGTCATATAGGCTGCTGTGCTTTATTGGCGTTGTCTGTTTGGCAGTTGGTCCGCTCGCGGCGTCTTTTTGCAGTGAGGTAAGAAGAAAGCATGCATATCTAAGGGGGGCATTGCAGGTCAAAGGGCCACTAATCGCTAAATGAACTTGATAGCCATGGCAATTTTGTCTTACCCAAGGGATAATTTTCGGACTGGGCTGCGGCCTCGTATACAGTCCTGCATCGACAGCCCCAGCGCGGTGGTTCACGAGACGGCGCGGCATGGCCACGGGCCTAGCGCTTTCGGGTGTGGGCGTCGGTGGGCTGATAATAGCGCCACTGACCGAGTTCCTTGTCCGGCACATCGGAGTCCCCTGGAGCCAGCGCATATCTGCGATGTACACGATAGTATTTGGCGCCATCGCGTGCTACTTTGTGCGCGGTGCCGTTCCAAGACAAAAGCCGCACGCTGCGGAATTTCGACTGGAAGGCGTTCCACGACCGGCGGTTCGCAATACAGGCCCTGATGGTGTTCTTTCGCCACGGCAGCATATCTTGTGCCGGTTTCGTATTTGCCGCAGTTCTGGACCAGCCATGGGGTGGGGGCGGAGACGGCGTCGGTGATGATCGCCGTATCGAATGTCTCCAATGCCGTGGGGCGGCTGGCAATGGGCGTGGCGGCGGACTACATCGGCGTGTTGAACTCGCTGGTGCTTGGCGTGGGCTGCTCGACAATTGGTGCTCTAGTCATTTGGCCGTTTGCTACCAGCGTTGGCTCGGGGCTGGTGATGGGGATCATTTATGGATTTGGCTCTGGCGGATACTGGACTCTGGTGCCGCTGGCAGCAGCCAAGCTGTTTGGCATTGATAAGCTGGCCAGCAACACAGGCATATTCTACACGCTGTCGGCGCTGAGCGCGTGGATTGGTAATCCGGTCAGTGGCGCAATTCTGGCGAACTCCAGGCACGGCTCGCAATACCTCGGGATGATTATGTATGTTGGGGCGCTGTGGGCGGTGTCGTTTTTCTTTGCTTCATACAACAGGCTGTCCTACTCGCGGCAGGTGTTCGTCAAGGTGTAGAGCCGCGGGCATAATTGTTCATTTGCAGCAAGTTCGGCGTCTTTGGAGCGGAAGGTGTGCTGGCGTGAGCCGAGCCACCCGGGAACTGTGCTCTTTTCGGACTCGGATCCCACAACGCAGGCTGCGCCTCATCCATGCACAGACGATGTGCTGTCGCTGAGCCGAGGGTGTGAATGGCGAGAACGTCGCACAGATACCTAAAAATATACAATGGAGATCGCCCCTTTGTTGTCCTGACGTCTGCGGATTCGAGCCCTCCCAGCAGGACAAGGGAGGGGAAAAAGGAATAGGTGACTGAGTAGTACTCTGCGAGGCCTGCAGCAAAAACAAAAGTCTCAGCGTTAGAGTGCGAGTTGGGATGAGGGGGAGGGCAGGGGCGGTGGGTATAAAAGGCAGAGCCGGGCGTTTCGTCAGCGGGAGCGGCACTAGCATTTTCCCTCTCCTTCAGTTGTATAAACCAAGAAGCCAAGCCCAGAGACACCACCCCCATGGTTGAGATCAAGAACCCTCTGTACGATACTGCGGCGCCGTCCACGCAGGCTTTGCACGCAGCCGACCACCTGCAGGTGACGCCGGATGTGGCCGCGCCAATCACGGTGTCGACCATTTACGAGTACTCCTCTGCCTCGGTCACCGCCAACAACTACGGGCCAGACCAGCGCTACGTGTATGCGCGCGAGGGCACAGCTACCACCACCAAGGCGGAGGCAGCGCTGAGCACGCTGACCGAGGGCCACGCGGTGCTGTACGGCTCGGGGCTGACGGCGTCGCTGGCGGTGCTGGTGGAGCTGAAGCCCAAGAAGATTGCAATCGGGCACGCGTACTTTGGCGTCAAGAAGGTGATTGAGCAGTACCAGGGCCTGGTGCCTGGGGTGCAGGTGGTCGGGGCCGAGTGCGACTACGCTGGCGTTGATCTGGTGTGGATTGAGTCGCCGATCAACCCCACCGGCGAGGTCCTCGATATCGAGAAGTACGCGCTGCGGGCGCACGCTGCGGGCGCCAAGCTGGTGGTGGACGCGACGTTCGCGCCGCCGCCCATCAGCTACCCGTTCCGGCAGGGCGCTGACATTGTTGTGCACTCGGCGACCAAGTACATGGGCGGCCACAGCGACCTGCTGGCGGGCGTGGTTGTTGCCAAGGATACCAAGACTGCCGAGAGCCTGCGGTACGCGCGGTACATTCTGGGGCTGAACGCCGGCAACCTGGAGGCCTGGCTGCTGCTGCGGTCGCTCAAGACGCTGCCGGTGCGGATCACGCAGCAGTCGGCGACTGCCAAGCGCATCGTCGCGCTGCTGGAGTCGCACCGCCGCCTGGCTGTGCATACCGCCTGCCACACGCCCTCGGCCGAGCAGACTTCGGTGGGCAAGGCCATCCATAGCGTGCAGCACGCGTCGCTGCAGCAGATCTGCCCGCCGTTCGACGTGGCCCGGCAGCACCCGCATGGCTTTGGCGCTGTGTTTGCCGTCAACTTCCGCTCCAAGGAGCAGGCGCTGTTTGTGGCCCGCCATCTCAGGCTGCATGCGTTCGCCACGGTCGCTGGGCGGCGTTGAGTCGCTGGTGGACTGGCGCCATGGCTGGGACGTCACTGCCGAGCCGACGCTGCTGCGCGTCAGCGTGGGTCTCGAGAGCTACGAGGATCTGGCTGCCGACTGGAAGCAGGCGCTGCTGGCCCTGGACGACCACGAGCGGAAGCAGGCTGCCAAGCTCTAAACCATTTTTTACCTATTGTAAAGTGTGCAATATATAGCAGTCGAGTGTGTCACAGACTACCGAGAGACAAAGCCGGGCGCGAGCTTGTTGACAGTTGGCTTTTCGTGCTGCCAGACACTATTGCACAAGCAGCCATTTTTCGCCCTTCTTTCCCCCTTCTCATTTCAATTTCTCAGTCCTTGTAATTTTCCTTTTTCCTTTCTTTTTCTGCCCAAGCATAATACGGCCTCTCTTGCTTCCTCCTCCCTCTCCCTACGAAGTCGGCCCTAAAAACTGTTTGGACGCATTTCTCCTCTCATCTATTTGTGTGTCTTCTCGCGACTTTTATAAAACAAGAAGGAAAAAAGACTGGTTGCAGAATGCAGACGATTAAATGCGTGGTGGTGGGCGATGGCGCGGTGGGCAAGACATGCCTGCTAATCTCATACACGACCAACAAGTTTCCGTCCGAGTACGTGCCGACGGTGTTTGACAATTACGCGGTGACGGTAATGATTGGCGATGAGCCGTACACCTTGGGGCTATTCGACACGGCGGGGCAGGAGGACTACGACCGCTGCGGCCGCTGTCCTATCCGCAGACGACGTGTTCCTGGTGTGCTTCTCGGTGACGTCGCAGGCGTCATACGAGAACGTGCGGGAAAAGTGGTTCCCGGAGGTGCGCCACCACTGCCCGGGCGTGCCCTGTCTGATCGTGGGCACCAGGTGGATCTGCGCGAGGACCGGGCGACGCTGGCGAAGCTGGAGGGGAACCGGCAGCGCCCGATTTCGGTGGAGCTGGAGAGCGTCTGGCGCGCGATCTGGGCGCCGTCAAGTATGTCGAGTGCTCGGCGCTGACGCAGAAGGGTCTGAAGAACGTCTTTGACGAGGCCATTGTGGCAGCGTTGGAGCCGCCTGTGACGAAGAAGAAGTCAAAGTGTCTGGTGCTCTGAAGGGGGCAAAGATGTACCACCGTTCCCCCCCTTCCTTCTCAACTTTGTTATTTTTCTTCATAAGCTGTCTTTTGTCCTCTCTCTCTCTCCCCTCACCGTCTTCACTTCCTCCCCCTTCTCTGGAGCAGAGCTGCGTGTTGTTTTGTCATCTGGACATGGGAAACCTCTGGGCATGTACGTAAGGGGGGCTCCATTCCCCCTTTTCCTCTTTCTTTTCTTTTCTTTTCTTCTCTTTCTCTCCCTCTTAGCCTCTATTCGATAAATTCTACATTGCAAACCCAGCCCGGTGTGTTTTCAAGAGATATCGAAAGGAGGCACAAATAATGCGAATTTTTTACGCGGTTCATTGTGTCCATGGAACCAGTGGGCTGCATCCTCCCCCAAACACGTCAACATGGCTGGTACAACGAAGCGCGGTCAATCTCAGGTCGCTTGCTCCACTGTGGCCCGTGGAACTCGCCACGTCCTTTTTGGATCCTGTGAATCAGAACCTGGGGAGGGGAAATAAGCTTGGGCGGACCTTCTTTTTTTTTTTTTTTTTTTCGATCGGCAGAGGACGGTTCTGGTGGCAGCAGAGGATTTCAGTCCAAGAACAAGAAGAAAACGTGATTACATCACCCGTTCAAATTTATGCGCTGGCCATATGGCCTGCACAGCGTGACCTTCGAATATTGGTCGCAGCCCCTCCTCTAATCCCGGCTTTCCCGGCCAGAAAGGGAGCATGTCTGGTCAGGTGGCCCAGATGGGAGAGGGGGTGGGACTGAGCACGCACCAAGGGGAGACCTTTTAAAGCGAGGCTCAGGGGAGCTCCTGTGCTGCTCTTTGGTATTTTTTTCGTCCTGCTTTATTCTCAGTAAAAGCGCAGACAGTATATTCCAACAAGCAGGTATTATTTTATTGTATTCAGACTCCCCAAAGACCTTACTCCATTATGAAGCTCGTAGCTCTCACCCACCTGCTGCTACTGCTGGTGCTGGGGCATTGCGGATACGCGCGCATTGAGCGCGTGGTGCCGGGCGACCCGTACACGGTCGGATACTCGGCGCGTGGCATGCTAATCGACGGGCGGCCGCGCATCCTGACTGCAGCAACAATCCACTACCCGCGCAGCACGCCGGCAATGTGGGACAGCCTAATGCAAAAGGCCAAAAGGGGCGGCATCAACACCATCGACACATATGTGTTCTGGAACATGCACGAGCGCACCAAGGGCCAGTATGACTTTGCAACGGACCGGGCCAACCTCCCGCTGTTTCTCGAGACGGCCAAGCGCCACGGGCTGTTCGTGGTCCTGCGCATCGGGCCGTATGTCTGCGCCGAGTGGAATTACGGCGGGTTCCCGCACTGGCTGAGGCACGAGAAGGACATTGTGTTCCGGACCTGGAACGAGCCGTTTTTGCGCGAAATGAAAAGGTTTGTTCAAAAGACGGTCGAGGTCACCAGGGGGTTCTTGCCCGAGCACGGCGGGCCGCTCATTGCCATGCAGATCGAGAACGAGTACGGCGATAAGGAGTGGCGGATGGGCGAGGACGGGCACAAGTACGCAAGGTGGTGCGGGGAGGTCGCCGGTAGCTTCAACCTGACGGTGCCATGGATCATGTGCAGGCAGTACTCGGATGTCGACCATGTTATTCCAACACAGAACGACTTTTACTGCGACCAGTACCTGGCCGACTTCCACCGCAAGCACCCGGACATGCCCGACATGTGGACGGAGATGTGGCCCGGGTGGTTCCAGCGCTGGGGCGAGGCCGCGCCGCACCGGCCTATCGAGGACATCGCATATGCGGTGGCCAAGTGGTATGCGTACGGCGGCACATACGTCGCCTACTACATGTATCAGGGCGGCACCAACTTTGGCCGCACCTCAGGCCCGTTCATCATGACATCCTACAACTACGACGGGTTCATCGACGAGTACGGGCTGGAGAACTGGCCCAAGTACCTGCATCTGGCCGACCTCCACAACCACCTGATCGATGCCGAGCACATCCTGACTGCCAGCAATGTGCCGGTGCCCGAGCGCCTAGGAAAGAACGCCAATGCCCACGTCTACGGTGACGACGACGAATACGTGGCCTTCCTGGTCAACGCCAACGCCCAGGAAAGCGTCTCGGCAGTGTTCCGCGGCCAGCCCTACGACTTGCACCGCTGGTCCGTGACCCTGGTCCGCAAGGACAAGGGCAGCGAGCCCGTGGTCCTCTACAATACCGCCCGGCTCTCCAAACGCGTGCGTCGCAGCCAGCGCCATCCAGCCGGCTTCGAGCCGCTGCCCGCGTCGCTCCTGCGGCTCGACGAAATGCATGTGCGCAGTGTTGCGCTGCCCAACAAAATGGCATACCACAGCGAGACGCCGCTGGAGCAGATCGAGCTGACCCACGACACCTCCGACTACCTGTGGTACCGCACAGAGATTACCATCCCCAAGCAGTGCCGCAAGGGCAAGGACGCGCAGATTGTGCTCAAGGACGCCGGAGACCTTGTCTACGCTTACATCGGCGACTCATATGTGGGCATGGCGCATGGCCGCCACGACACCCTGGCCACCTTCACCATCGACATTCCTGCGCACGTGCTCAGCGCCGCCCCCGACTCCGCCCCCCTGACCCTGCTCTCGCAGACCATGGGCATGGCCCACAACCAGTACAACATGGAGGCGTATACGCGCGGCCTGCTCGGCGCAGTCTCGGTATGCGGCATCGACGTCACGCGCAACGGCTGGGCCATGCAGCCGACGCTGGAGGGCGTGAAGGAGGACCCGCCGGTGCCTGACCACGTGCTCTGGCACCCCTACTCGGCCCAGCCAACGGCGGGCAGCCGCCTGCGCTGGTATGCCATTGAAATCGACACGGCAGCGCTGCGTGCCTACGAGCCGTCGCGCTATGCCATTGACCTGGGGTCGATGACCAAGGGCCATGTGTGGGTCAACTCGCACCACCTGGGCCGCTACTGGACGCGCCGGGCGCCCGAAAAGCGCGACCACCGCCCATGCCAGGTGTGCGACTACGGCGGCTGGTTCTGGCCCGACAACGTGTGCCGCCAAAAGTGCGGCGAGATCTCGCAGCAGTACTACCACCTGCCGCCCGGCTACCTCGACATGGACAAGAGCGTGCTGTATGTGCTGGAGGAGGTGTCTGGTGACCCGGAGAAAATCGCTATTGTGCGTAGAGTCTCCGAGTCGCCTGAGCGCCACGCCCCCGAGGCCCCCGAGGACGCCCATGGCCTGGCCTACTATGCCACTTGGCTTGCCGCCCTGCTGGCTGCTTCCTGGGCCCTGTGCAGGGTGTACAGTCTGGCTGTCAGGCGTCGCGGATACCAGCCCATTGCCGACCAGTAAACCAGTCCGCTCTTTTATTATCTCAGAATGCCGTTTCTATATCTTTTGGATGTATTTCCCTATGGCCATGGGTGGGGGTTTCTAATCTTGCTGCACCACGGGCATTCGTATTTTTCTGCATTGCTTCTCGCGTCTGCGATATTTACCAAAATCCCCCTGTCAGAATGCCAAAGCCCAGGATGGCTTCCCGCGGGGCTGCAGTGCTGTACTCCCAAGCCTCCTTACCCGCTGTTGCGTCTGAGCAACAATCCCTTTCTTTGTTGTGCCTTCCATGAATGTGGCCCGGCCTTCCCTCCACCGGCGCACGTACAAAGGGCGTACCTCCAGTGGGAAAAATACAAACTACATGCCCGTGCCTCAAATTGCCTAATGTGGGCCCGCTCATGGTTGCCCGTGATGCATTGTCAATATACAGATGCCCCATTCAGGCTTGTATTTGCTTTTTTCCAACCATGCAGCCTGCATACCGCTGCTGGGAACAGCTTGCACGAAATGCCGAATGTAGGGCGCTCGTACATGCGAATTGCGCACTCTACCGGTATTCAAACACCATTCCAGATATTGTTGTATCTTGACACCACATTCTTTATTCCTTCAGCTGCCCCCCTTTTGCCCATACAAGTGGCCAAGCAACATCTTGGCTGAAGAAAAAGAAACCAAGCCCGCAATAGGAGCGGCTCTGGGAATTTAGCCCAGCCACGCCCACCATATATAAGAACCCAGCACCACCCAGGACACCCCTGTCTTTGTCCAGACAGTTAGCTTTTTCTTCCTTTCACATACACTAATAATATGCGTTTTGCACTCGCTCTTACTGCCCTTGCTGCCCTGGCTCTTGCCGCCCCGCTCACTGTCCGTGACGACAAGAGTGCCGAGGCTGTGCTCCCGATGGTTATCGGTTCCAAGGATTACGGAACCTTGGAGTCCAACATCAACACCTTCTTTGCCAACCTGGGCGGCTCCGATGACCCCGACAAGTCGCAAAGAATTGCTGACACTGCTAAGAAAATCCAGGACCAGCTCCAGGCCTATGTCAAGAGCAAGGCCCCGGCCCAGCAGGCTGCCACCTGGGCCGAGTCGGTTCTGGCGCCCCTGCTCACCTAAATACCCTTGGCTTAATTCTGCTTTCCGTAGCTTGGTACTTCCTGATAATCGATTTTCAATTATATCTGTTGATAACTAATTGTGTCCCTAAACCCCTTTTCTTGGGAGAACAGGACCCCTTTTCCGGACCTATCGGAACTATAGTTTACAGCAGCCTTCCTTGTGCTCGCCCCCACATGTATGTCTGCTGCCGAATGCAGTGTGGGACTGTTCCTGTCTAAATCATGCTCCTCATGTATGCGAATGGACCTAACGGAGTAACTCCGCAGCTCGGGGGAGTTAGCTTTGACCAACATGGTCCCGTTTTATAACTCTGATTGCACAGCACTGAAAGAAAAAACATGGTCATGCCGAGCAGCAATACCTTCTCCGCATGTCTCTCACTACTGTTTCGGAATTTATTATCCACCCGCGCTACCGATCCGTACGTAATTTCGGTCAATTTCGTTCCTACGCATTTCTTTCGCCCTACTCTGCGCCTGGCTAACCAATTTTTTTGCTCTGCCAGCCTGCTGACCTATATGAAGGCTGCTGTCGGTCCTGACTACCAAAATCAGTT